GAGGTCCGCGTCGGCAGGAGGGAGGGTGGGAAGGAAGGAGCTGAAACGCTCTCCGAGCGTCGCTTCTAGACTGGGTAAAGCTTGAAGCCTTGCTCTAACATGTTACGGCCCCGCCTGCTGCGTGGTTCCCCTCGGGCTGGCTGTGCACTGCGAGACTGGTTGTGCTTGGAAGAGAATGATTAACGTGGAGCCTGGCTGGCTGACAACCCAGTTGCTTATATAAAGATGGAAACTGAGAGGAGTAGCTCGTGCATCTTACCAGATCTGAACACGGAACTTGCTGTGTGTGCGTTAGTTTTCAGTTCTGTGGACGGAGATTTAGGATGTTGTCACTGAGTTTGCATTAGGATGAGGTTTCTGTGTAGTCTTATGATTTTCGGGATTGTTGTAAGTATTGTAATCCTGTTCATCACTAAAGTAGAAATTTATAGATATGCAAGGTTTTCTTCACTAATGGGAGGGGACAGAGCTGTTCTCTTGAGAGTTGTAGTATGAGCATAACCACTCAGATAAGGAATTAGGTTGTGTTGTCTTCTGCTGTGAAATACTTTTTGAGCTGATGGAGAGATAAACATAAAATTTTCAGAAGCTTCTGTGTACTTTGTGGAGCTTGGTTTGTGGATGGTTGCCAAAAGCTCTGAAGATTCTTATCTGTGTCCCAAACCATGTAATTTCTTTATTACATCTATCTTAAGCATGCTCCTAAGGCTTGTTCACTTTGGCAAGTGTGGAACTAGTATTTTTGGCAGGATGCAGGGAGAATATTTTCCACTGAAGTTGTCTCTTCTGGTCTGGGAGTCAGTGCATTGGTGGTAAAAACCCTGTGTGTTTCACAAGACCTGTTATTAGTGCAGACAATACCGTTAATGAATTAAGAGGTAGGCAAGGCATTCTTAGTGTCCAGTACAGCAGAAAGGTGTATTTGTTACGTGTTGTCTGTTCTTGTGTAGAGCTTATCCAGCCATCCTTATCTTCTGGTGGAAGGGACATTCTGTTATCCCCTTCCTTTGAAAGTGTAATCAGGAACATGTTATCTGTTGTACAGACAACAGTACTACTGCTGCCTTATCTTCATGGACAATACCTTGCCTGGTATATTCCAAGTCAGCGTGTTTACTTCATGGTTGTCTTGCTGCTTGTAGATGTGCTGTGATATAGCACACCCCACATTCTCCTCTCCTCAGTTCTGACCTGGTGATCCTGTTCAGTCCTGCGAGGGAGGGAGCAGTGTAGCTCCTCAGGCTTGTGAGTTCTAGAATGTAGCGTGGGAAGAAAAACGATTCTCAAAATACCCAGAGTTACTTAAGGAGAACTTACACTGGAAAATCAGGTGTAAAGTGCTGAAGATTAATGTAGAGTCAAGTTTAACTTCCTTTGTGTGGTTTACTGTATAGTCTTTAATTACATAAACCTATATTTCTGTGTAGTAACTTCTGTCATGGTCAAAGTGATTATTTTTTGAATGATTGTTCTTTATCCTTTCAGCTTCACTGACATCTCTTTTTTAGGCCAGGCTGATGAGAGAAACTGATAAAGCTTAATTAAGAAATAAAAATTCCTGAATTTCACATTCATTACAGGTTCCTGTGGCTGTAGCTTCTGTTCCACTAACTAGTTGAAAGTTTTGCAAAGTATCACATGTATGAATGACAAAGTCAGAAACATGAGAACTGTTTTTGAAAATACCAGCTGTTTCTTCCCATTAGTAATGGTAAAATTTAATTATCTTCATATTAGTGTCAGTTTACATCAAATTTAACTGACCAATATTTGCTATAGTTAATGTTGAGGACCTCTGATCATGGGACAATGCTTTTTGCTTAAAAACCCCCCAAAGAGTAGGACAGTAAGACAGGAGTTCTTAGGTATTTTTTGATTGTGAAAGAAAATGTAGTAGTCCTGAAATAAAATGTAGTCTTGGCTGTGATTCCTCAGTTAAGTCAACAAAGTTACAATTTTCACAATGAAATATCTACAGTCAAACCAAATCCACATAGAACCATTTAAATAAGAAGCCTCAATTTTGAGGTTTTTAACAATCATACAAACAACTTGAATGACCTAACTGAGTTTAATTAGAAGTACTTCTAATTTCTCCAATAGAAGAAGTTAGAGGAGGTCTTAATGTTCTGATAACAATATCAATCACGTACCATCTAATTTTAAAACTTGTACCTGAATTATTTTAACTATTATAGCAATATTGGTTCCAATGTATTTGCTGCTGGTTTGCATTGCCACGATTTTAATTTTATGTCATTTCAAGAAATCCCTCACTGCGAGATTATAAGAATGGCTGCAGAGGTTCATCTGTGGACCAAGCAATTCTTCTAAATTCAGCAAGGCAAGTGGCTAGATTTCATGCTGAAGGTAGTACTTAGTTGTTGCTTGTTTCATACTCCAGAGTAGGTAGTGCACTGGACCATGTGTTTTTTGTTGAGTATGTCGGAGGTTTGAATGTTGGATTTTTTAGCTCAATCACATTTAGGTGCTTTTATAAGGGACATAAGGTATTTTGTAGTTCTGTGTTCTTAAGAGATAGCCTGTGCATAATCATGCTATAGCTAAGCCAAAGAGGAATATGGAGTTCCTCTGTAGATTGCTAATCATTGTCTATCTTAACACTGGAGTTGTAGCAACAGTGCAGAAAGAAATTGTCATATCTAACTTGTCAGCGGAGAACAGAGGTCCTGATCTTCATCAGTGGGTTGTGTTTTCACAGCAGAAGGCATTTGGAAGTGAGAGCTGAGGAGGAGGTTCCTCCTGGCTGCTGTCATAAACAGTGACTACCATTGTTCTCATGGGGCTATTCCTGATGCCAGATTTTTCTGGGAATTAATGGTGATCAGGCTGTGCACTTGTTTCTTATTGTATCCCCAGTTAGCGAGGGTGTGTTAGGGTAATTTTCCATTACTATTCTTTGTTCTAAAGAATTTTTGTTGTTAAAACAGTCATCTTCAAAGAAAAATGTATTTGTTAAAGCACTAAAATGTATTACCTCACTTCATGTGTAGTATTGTTTGGAATAAACTTATTCTCTGTTACTCCTTTTTAAGACTCTGTCCAGCAGACTCACCTGTTGCCCAGGTGGGTGGTAATGAAGAATCCCACTGAATCTTTCCTCTCTGAGCTCGTGTGCTTGTAGCTGTCCCACTGAACCTGCATACTAGTGTCAGATCATAAGAGCATGGCACACAGAAATGAACCACAGTTGTTCTCTGAAGTTCTGCAGATGGAAGTGCTGCTATTAAATGATCTAGGTTATTATGTAGCTAAAATGTGTTCTTTTAAAGTGCAAATTCAGAAAACATCTTCAATGTTATCATGCATGAGTACCATGTTGTTCTTATGTTTCTGTGTTGTGAGAGCATAAATTTGAGGGCCCTATAACTGTGGAGGAAGTTGGTCCTTCACAGACATAGAGTAAATTCTGTGGTCCTAAGGAGCAGCCTTTGTCAGTCATGGAAATGACATTTCAACCTGAATCATGTTTGTTGTCTAGACTGGGGACTCTGGTGCCAGAAAAATAGTTATTTGGAAGAGACAGTGGAAAGTAATCTGTAACCTGTTTCAAAACTAATGAGTTTCTAAGATGTGGATTAATATCTTGTGTTAGCTTTTGTCTTTGCTGAAAATAGTTGAAATGTTCAAAATCTAAACACTGTATCTTTAACCCTTGTGTTGTATTTGATGGGCCAAATTTTGTGGTTTTAAGATACACACAATTGTAAAAATGGCCAATTTTTTATATGAGAGATTACAGAACAAAATCTGCTCATTCAAATGTTTCTTTTGGGGAGTGGTTGTATGGGGGTTTTGCTGGTGGTTGTTTGGGATTTTGGGGGAGTTTGGGTTGTTTATTTTTTTTTTTTTGAGGGAAACATGATAGTCTCAGTGCAAGGTATCATTCATTGTTCATACAAGGAAGGCAGTCAGGCCCTTTGTGTATGTTTTTAATACATTAAAAAAAAAAAATCTTCGTATGGCAAAGGAAAAAAATGAAAATGTTTGGTTTGCTTCCTCCTAACCCTTCTCTTCACTTTTTTTCCATGATTAATGATAAATCAGCAGTTTTTAAGAACAGTTTCTATTATAAAACATGCCTATTTCCAGACACAAGCTGTTGCTTTTTGGTGCTGTTCTTAATGAAAATTTATTAACAAAGCGGAATTAACTTCCTTTTAATATCATGAGATTGTGAAATGCATACAAGCGTGCTTTACAGAGTACTTGTACTCTTTTATTTAAAGGTCTTTCTTAAAAATGCATGTAGTTCACAGGAGACTAAATCTGCTGCTCAGACCATAAGTCATATATGTACATATGTGCATTTCACTGAAGTTGGTAGAACTAGTTTGTATTTCTTGCCTGTTGGTATCACACGGGTTTTGCAAGTGTGTGTTTAGAATAAATGCTTTTAGTACAATTATTCCAGGTACACAAAATTTGGCTTTATGCTAGAAGGGAAGATTAAAATTAACAGTGTCTAAAGATTATTAATACCATGTGAATTAATACATGTAAATGTTCATTCCTGTATACAGCTGTCATTGATATGTGTTCCTTAAAGCTCTTTGAAGTGGTACTATTACCATCTTGTTTTATGCATGCATTCCCATGGAGGAATTTTTTATCAAAAGGGGCTTCTGTCTCTGAAATAATTGAATAAAGATTACTTGTAATTAAAAGTAAACGTAGCATAAAGTTTTGCATACTTCTTTAGAAAATTTTAACTGACCAGTAGAGCCCAGCAAAAATCACAGAGGAAAATATTTGCTATGTGCCTTGACTCTGTGTTGTTTTTGTTTTTGTTGTTGTTTTTTTTTTTTTGCAGGTACTAAATAAAATATGCTGTTGTCAATAGGAATGCTGATGTTGTCTGCCACTCAGATATACACTATTCTGACTGTTCAGTTATTTGCGTTCCTGAATCTTTTACCTGTGGAGGCAGATATTTTAGCAGTAAGTATAAGAATGTTTTTCTACATAGATGAAATTTCTGTAAAATTGAATCTGCTTTTAAACTATTCTATTAATGAATCAGTACAATAAATGTTATAGCAGGTTGCTCAGAATGGAATTGCCTCGACAGTTTAGTTCACTTAAAAAAAAAAAAAAAGTACATTTTAAAATGCACTTACAGATGATGTGTGCTCAGATACCATGACAGTGAGAGTACTTCATTTGCTTAGACATTTAAAAGTACAAATCTGACCAGATAGGCTATAGCATGTTATAACCCTGTTAAAAAATTTCATGATTTAGATGTTTCATGGTTTAGACAGCAGTTTAAGTTTTGATGATGGATGCCATTTTGTAGGTTAATGGTGTATAAATAAAGCAGAATAATCTTCTATGAGTAGTATAATTGGTGTGTGCTAGAGGCCTTGTCAGTGAAGTGTTTGTATATGTTGCACCTAAAGAGAGAGAGAGAGAGAGATTTCTTTTAATAGCTAATAATCTCTGCTGTCATTAAGAACAATATTGTTGGAGTATGTAGAATTTTAAATGATCGTATATATGATCATAATGAACATAGGGTTAGTGGTAAAAGTTGTTGCAGGGTTACGTATTACCAATTTTATATATCATGTAGTTTTATGGAGGAAGTTGTATGTGTCTTTGTAGGATAGAGCTTAAGCCACTGAAATAATTAAACATAAGTACTGCAGTCTTCATAGTATCTACTAGTTACAGTAATATCCAGGAGAGTTGTTAATATCATATCAATTTAGGAGAACAGTGTGAAAAACTCTTGAAACTAAATATTAAAATAAAAGTACTTAAAACATTGTGGTAATGTGGGGTTGATGAGTGCTGGGTTATGCAACTTGAATCTTCGGGGTGTTACTGTTCTATCATTTTTTGTAGATACAAATTTTAAGGAACAGTGCAGATAGATAATTGCTTTATTGTGGAAGTTACATCACCATTCTATTGTGAAATTTTAAACTAACTTTCTACTGTAAACTTGATTTTCCCCTCCTCCCGTTTCCTTTCTAACCAAGCCCATGCTTCCTTTTTTCATAAGAAACCTCTTTTTCATTCTTGCTACTTCTTCCCTTAGAAAAGATATTTAAAACAAGCCATCAACCTAAAAAAAGGGCATTTTTTTAAAGTTTAGTTTAGAATCATAGAATAGTTAGGGTTGGAAAGGACCTTAAGATCATCTAGTTCCAATCCCCCTGCCATGGGCAGGGACACCTTGCACTAAACCGTATCCCCCAAGGCTCTGTCCAGCCTGGCCTTGAACACCACCACTGATGGAGCATTCACAACTTCCTTGAGCAAAGTTTAATTTCTTCTACTTGAACTTGTGTGCAGTATTCTAAAATAATTCCCTCGAAACGTGAAGTGTCTGTTATTCTTGGATATTTGGAAGTTACGGATCTATTCTGAGAGTATCTTTGAAGTAGGAAATGAAAAGATGAGCTAGACACTACTTAAAACTTTGCTATGAAAAGAAGTCAGTGGAAAGCTCATGAGATAGAAGAGGGAGTGTTTGTACACTGTCACATGGAGTTGAAGGCATACAAATATCTTAATATCTAGAGAGATTTCATGGTTTAATGATTGTTGTGGAGCAAGATTCAGCTGAGTTTTTGGGTTCTCCAACAGAAGAAATTCTTCTTTTCCTACTGACGTATGTGTATTTTATGCTTCAGTGTTCTCATGTAGTTGCAGCTTCAAATGAAGAATTTTATTTGTATAAAGTAGTTATGTGTATGTGAAGCATTATTGTCCATTTTTAAAATAATGGATAAAAATAAGATGGCTTGTGTCTGACTCCCAGCTTAAGTTGGGGCTTGCTAAGTGATTCAAAGGAAAACTTAAGAGTAACATGAGCTCAGGAAGGACATTTTAAGAAGGTAGATGAGTGAATAGGGAGAATGGAGGAAGACAGGTTTACTGGTGCAGTGCTGTGCTATGTGATGGTAGGATGGAAGATCAGGAGAGGTTTAATGGAGCAGGTTGATTAAACAGAACAAAAATGCTTCCTTCAGATTTAGTTCCATTCCTGTCTCTTCCCCCTCAGTTTTATTAAAGTCTGTGGGAAGGAAGCTCATTTGAAATGTTGCTTCTTTGAAAGACTTAAGATAAATCATGGTAGTGTTTTTCTATGAACTATAGTTCGAGTTTCTGTGTCTGAGTCCGGCTGCTACAAAATGTCCCTCTGAAATGAACACAATCCTTACTTGACTGTTCTGTATGACAACTGTGTAGTATAATGAATAGGGAAATATTTCTGAGTCACTAAACTATATAATAAAACTTACCAACTGATCTGCATTAAACTCAGTTACTGTTTCACAGTTTCACAACTTTTGCAAGAAACTATCACTTTTAATGAAAAAAAAGGTATAGCATATGTAAATTTAGGGGGTTTTATTATTGTATGGATTCTGCATTGGTTACGCATATCAGAGATACAGAAGATGAACAGAGAAAGGGGAAACCAACTTTCCACAGATCTAAGGTCTTTATAGTATTCCTCTGCTTTAAAATGAAAGTTCATAGTTAGTATAAAACAAAACTATAGAGAGAGTTTTCAGCTGCTAACCTGAATAGACAGCAGGGAATTTAGCAGGGATAACATATGGAGGCTATTCTTTGCCTACAAGAAGCCACCTGTTAGAAGTTGTTCTTCCCTGTACGTGAGTGAATTCAAAGTTAAAAAAAAAAATAAATACCCAAACTGCCAAAATACACAAACCACCATGTAAAAAATACACCCCAAACCCTCAGCTATTCTGAGTTTTGAGCTTTTGGGGTTATTTATAGCCTGCAAGTATTTGAATTGTAGACAGTAGAAAGAAAATTTAACATATGGGTAATTTAACAGAAGATCTATTACTTCCTTGTATTGACAAGTAGTTATGAAAAGAATGATGTTGCCATGTGAATGAAGAGCAAGTGGAAGAAGCAATTTTGTGATTTCATTGACATGGTTGCAAGAGGTTCTATGTCTGATAAATACTTTAATCTAAAAAACAAAAACATGGCTTTGTTTATTTCAGTTTATACCTGTTATCTATTTCTCTCTTGTTGCAAACCTGAATTTTCTTTAAAATTTGTTTCTTTTAGTATAATCTTGAAAATGGAACCCAGACCTTTGATGACCTACCTGCTAGGTTTGGCTACAGACTGCCAGCAGAAGGCTTGAAGGTAAAAAAAAAAAATAAAATATCCCCACTAGATGCACAGAGGACTGTATCTGCTGAATGTTTCTTCTGTAAGATAAAAAAGATAGAAATCAAACAAATATAGCACTGAGGAAAAATAAATACAGAACAGATTACTGCTCAGGCAAAACAAATGTGGAAAAGGTCTGAAATGAAAACTCGAGGTGATACTATTTTGATGCTCACTGGTTTTATTTTGGGAAGAAGTTAGAGCTGTATAGTTGTTAGCTGACTATATGAGAAACAGAGCACAATTAAGTAATTTGCCCAAGTAGTGAGCCAATTTAATAATATCAAAAATAGATACAAGGAGCTTTGATTCTAACCTTTTTAACTGTTAGACAGCTGTGTTGTAACTAAGGTGGAGGTAGTCATCTGTGCAGAACTAATAATGAGTCTTAGTCTTGAATATAACACTGAAACGTCTTTCTTTGCATTTTAATTGTTTTGTAAAAAAATAAGAAAAAATCCAGTCCAGTCATAGTCAGACTTTAGTTTCTATGTTTGTATTTCTTGAACTGCAACAGGACACTGTGTGATTTGTATAAAACTGGTCCATAGAATACAGTTGGTTCCAGGCATACCACTCTAGTTAAAAAGAGTAAATGCTTTGGATGAAACTACGTAATGTAAGTAGCAGTTGATGTACCAAGTGAGGGAACCTCAGGGACCTAAATTTATGTGTCAGCAAATCAGTGTAGAATTTTTCTTGCTTTTAATTGTTATAGGGTGTGTAGTGGTGTGCCTGTCAACACAAACTTGATAAAGAACAGATTGCTGGTGCAGCTTCTCCTCTGAAAGGGATATTACCATTACAAAATTCTATTTCTCAAAACAAAATTGCTTCTCTGTTGCAGGTTAAACTTTATAAATAATACATATTTATGGATAAAATGTAAGATTATATTTAAAAAGCATATTTAAACTGGCAGTTTATAAATATATAAATTGTCTATATTTTATACATTTAAACTGTCAGCTCATAGCTATGTTTGTATATAATTACATAATTATTTCTACACAGGTGATGACTTCTCTCTATATAGCTAAATCTATCAGTGAAAACAGTTTCAAGCTCTTAACTGTAGCAATAATTTCTTGAAACCACAGCAGTGCAGCTTCTCATGATCTTTATTTGCATAAAACACATTACTTGCATTCTTATTTTCTGGTCACTCGTTGTTCTTTATCTGTATGATAACCTCCTCTGGCTTTAAAAAATATTTAAATCTGTGTGAATATTACAGGAATATCCTTATGTCAAATGCTACTCCTTTGCATTAGCCTCCAAATTCCTCTGTCATGCTGTGGCTGTACTGCAGACACCTTAGAAAGCAGTTTTTCTGAAGAGGTGTTTCAAATGAGGGGTAGGGAAAACGTGCTCTAGGTATGCAGTCTGGACTTTCCTGTATCTTGATAATCAAAATCTGTTGTGAAGAGATTGACAGAAGTGAATCAATTACTATCAATCTAATTGTTAACTGATATTAATACAATTAATAAAGCTGCTCATTTCAGGTGATCTAGAGGTTTGATCAAGGAAGACAGCATATTCTAGTAAATGAAAAAGGAAGGTCTGTTTGCTTTACCACTAAAACAACTAGTGTTGTGAAGCATGCACGATACTCTTTTTGGCATTTGATTAATGGAAACTTCTGTATCAGCAGTGTTTACAGAGTATTTACAGTAGTAGGGAAGAAAGTTCAGAGTAGTAATCAGCCCTGAATTCACACCATTGTGGAGAGGGACTAGTGTCAGTGTGTTCAGTATTTAGGTGAGCATGTTTCCTCTTAGAGAATCTGTGGAGTTTTCCAGTAGATGTTTGTCCTGGGTTCAGCTGTAGCAGTCATTTTTCTCCTTCTTAGTAGCTGGTGCAGTGCTGTGTTTTCAACTTTAGTCTGCGAACAATGCTGATAACACACCGGTGCTTTTAGTTCTTGCTAAGTAATGTTTACTCCAGTCAAGGGCTTTTTCAGTCTCATGCTCTGCCAGGGAGGAGCGGAAGCCAGGAGGAAGCAGAGACAGGACACCTGACCCAAACTGGCCAAAAGGGTATTATTCTGTACCACAGCACATCATGCCCAGTAGATAAACTGGGGGAATTTACCCAGAAGGCCCAGGTCACTGCTTGGGTCAGGCTGGGTGTTGGTCGTTGGGTGGTGAGCAGTTGTATTCTCTCCCCTTGTTACTCCCCTTATCATTATTATTGTTGGTGGTAGCAGTAGTGGTTTTGTATTATACCGTAGTTACTGGACTGCTCTTATCTCAGCCTGTGGGAGTTCCATTCTTTTGATTTTCCTCCCCATCCCTCCAGGATCTGAGGGGGAAGAAAGAGGGGAGTGAGCAAGTGTCTGAGTGGCTCTGCGTTGCCAGCTGGGCTTAAACCATGGCAGTGTTAAAGCATGAGGTTAGGAAATTTTCTGCTCCAACCATTTTCAGTGGTGGAGTACTAACTCAGTCACCTAGAAATAATCCAAAGACTGCTTCAAGATCGGTATTTCCAGAACTTCCTCCATCAGTGGATCTTTCAACTATATCGGGTTTGATGACCTATAGTCTTTGCTTAGAATAGTAAACAGCTATTCTGTATGCTAGTGCAGTTTTGATTTCACACACGTAACCTTCGTCCGTTTTCCCCTTTTAATTGCCAAGTATGAAAGTGGTGGCAGTGCTTCTCAGGCTGTTATACTTCAGATTAGTCTCCATATGTCTTAGGTTAGGAGTTCCACAATATTAATGTAGCATGTGCAGTCCTCTTTATCTGCTGAATTACACTGCGAAGTCTGAGTTATGAAGTTCAGATGACGTAATTGGGAAAACTGTATTTTTTTTTTTCTTATTCTTTACAGACATAGTGATGAATCACAATACACAGGGATGTAGCAGAAATCTTGCTGTGATACAGGACTGAATTGATACTAAGAATTTGTTTAGCTATTGTATGAAAAAGTACTTACACTTGTCTACCAACTCCTTTGTTAAGGCAAAGAGAAATGAAGCACCTGTTCCTGTTTTCTAGGGATTTCTAATAAATTCAAAACCAGAGAATGCATGTGAGCCTATAGCCCCACCTCCACTGAGAGACAATTCGTCCAGTGCTTTTATTGTGTTAATTCGAAGGCTTGAGTGCAACTTTGATATCAAGGTAAGATTCTTTTAATATTTTTTCTCTCTCTTTGTTTCAAAGGCTTAAAGAATTTACTGGTGCTTCAGAAAAATACCTATAGCTAACATCAGGATAGATACTGATTTGAAGGGAAGGGAACATTTTGTCTGCGGGCATATAAAGCAGTATTGTAACGTGATTTAGTTTCAGATTGCTCGTTTGGAGGCCAGGTTACATGGCAAATAAGGATGACCGGTGCTGCAGTTTTAGAACAAAAAGCATTTGGTAGCAATATTAGCTTTTCTTGCCAATTAGACTCTTTGCTGCAAGGGATCACGGGGGAGCTTTAGGGAGTGGAGATAACAAAAGCACCCAAAATCTGCAAGCCACTCTCCTGGTTTGTTTTGGTTTTAGTAGTAGATCATCTTGTGGCTCGCACTGAGATCACATAAACAATGGTAGTGTCATAATTGGTTGACAGGGAGAGGAGGCAGTGAATTGCTGAGTAGAAACGGGCACCAATGGCAGGATGGAAATGTTTTTAAATGGGTACAACATGTAGGTGTTTTATTAGGAAGCATTTTTAAAAATTTTGACCTGCAGCTGATGTATAGTATTCTCTGTGTTAATTTTTTTTAAATACAAAATTAGAATTATTTGTGCTTGGCTAAAATATATGGTTTTCTTGAAAATGGCCCTGATACAGGGGCAGCTGAGGATGTCTTAAGGAAAGCAGGGCTCTTCAATTTGTTGTCAACTTCCTTGCACTATAAGGAGATCCAACCCTGTCTATTGCTATGTGGTATGATCAGTTATGTGTTATGGTGATTAAAGATGTGAATTCTATCCACTGCTCACATAATCTACCTTCACATCAAACTTGGAAATGTCATATATTTTGTACTGTGAATCCTGACACTGTGTGAAATTGGCTTAGTGAGAGAAGGAAGGGAAATGTCTAATTGTCATTTTCATATCCTCCTTGCCTATCTAATTGCTGTCCCTAAACTGATAGAACAGTATTAGATTTGTAGAATCATAGAATGGTTAGGGTTGGTAGGGACTTTAAAGATCATATCATTCCATCCCCCTGCAGTATTACTGCTGAAGACACTTAAAGGAAGAGGTCAGAATTTTTCAAGTTGAACAGACTTTTAATCGGAAATACGACAAATGCTTATATGCTGAAAATTACTTGTTTTGCTAAAGAAGTTGGCATTATGACCAAGCCTTCAGCTTTTTTACTCTGGTGCTAAATCACAAAACTCACATCTCTCTTGCTGGCCACAGAATTCTGAGAGGGAGAAGCTTTGGAAAGCTACTTGGCTAAAGACAAGAGTCAAGCAGGGGGAAGACATGCAGAATTGCTTTTCCACATAGCTATCAACTTAGTAAATGTAGATTCTTGGACTTTAATTTTACACATCTTGATTTGCCACTCACCATCAATGAGCATTCCTTGCAGAAAATGGAAAATTTGTACATTACTGTTGAGGGATTTCCATGGTCAGTCCTTGAAGGGTTAAGTCACACTAGCTTGATATGTAGAATTTTTGTTACGTTTCATATTTCATGTCATATCCATGGAAAAGAGGATTCCCACACATCATTAAACAAAGAGCAAGGTGGAAGGTGGATCAGAAGTTCCAAGGCAAGCATGGATATCTATGTACTCACTGGCAAGTGAATTCACTCTTGTGGTGTTAATATTATTGCAATACTGCATTATATAATTTTGTACATACTACAGCATTTTGCCCTGAAGTTTCTGCCATGAAATGGCATGTGTGCTGAGATACGAGTTATATTACATGTCAGCTACTTGACTGACAGGATGTTTGTTACAAAGTCCTATCTCGTCTTCTGTTTGACGTTGAAAACTACAAATACAGGTGCATAGTTATTTCTTGATTTTTATTGTGTATGAATACCTACTATGCCAAAAACCATCCCCCCTTGCAGACTCCCAAGGTGTCTGCATTTTCCAGTTACATTGTTCTGCTGTTTGGAATATAGCTGTTAGACATAGAGGGAGAGAATCTGGCACTCTGAGGCATGTAACTGTTGAGTAAAGAGCTGATTGTCATTTTCTTACAGTGTAAGGTTACTGTGCAGTAAGAAGTCACTTCCTGAAGGTATTTCATCCTGCTTAGGTGTATCTTAAAAATGGTTTAATGCTGCTTTTTTTGGTGCACAATTAATGCTTTTGTCTTTGGGGTCCTGAGTAGTGAGGGTGAACTTCACAATGTAATTGAACAGGCAGTTGCTACTGCTTTTTGCAGCTGGATGGTGTCATTAAGCCTGTGGTAGCTTGTGTGGAAGGTGCCTGGCTGTGATTGTGTCAGTGTTGCTCTTATTTGAGTAACTGTGCCACTGATAGGTCGAAAGCATATTTATGTGTGATTTTACAGAAATACCGTGATTTTATAATCCAATAATTAAGCAAAGGGCCTGTGTTATAAGGAAGTGGCAGAAATGCGCAGGGAACCAAAACACTTCCTTAAGTAATATAAATTATTTACAATCTGTCCTGAAGGATGTATTTCAGTGTGTAATGGACAGTTAATAAATACCTATTTAGGACATGATATCAAAGAAATAAAACAAACAAACAAGAAAATGAATACTACGTATAAACTGTCACTAATTACCATAGCACATTTGTGTGGCTGTGAGGATTAAGGACTTGTGATAACCAGGGAACTTTAAAGCTCAGATCACTCAAACTTTTGTGTTTCTTCAGTTTCAATGCTTGTTGATTTGTGTGTTATCCATGATGACTCCATTATTGCCATTCTGTGTCACCGGCTCAGATATAGATATTCAGTGCTTTTAATCCTTTTGTTGTCTTACTTTTGACTGTTATAGTTAAAATTCTTATGCCCCCCCCCCACTTTTTTTTGCCTGTTTTTGCTGTTGTGCAGCATGCAAGAAGGCTTTCATATATCAAGCTTGACTTTTTTTTTTTTTTTTTTTTTTAATCAGTGGGAGCTTTCCAGCTTTACAACTCATGTTCCTCCTTGTTTGTCTCTTGAGAAGAGAAACTGGGAGTGTATGTGTGTTTACATACATGTGTATTTTCCCATCTCCTAACTTGAGAGTAGAGGTCTTGAAAAAGAGCACCCAGGTTTCCCCTTGTTTTTTCAGATCTGGTGATGATAGTCTGCTGTAAAAGAGAGGTGGTGGTGACTTCTTGTAGGGCCAAGATTTGTTTGTATGTTTGTAAGGAGGTGGTATTTGTTGACTGATAAATAAAGTTGTTGTGATGCCATAATATGGAAATGCTTCAACTGTTTTCCAGTTCCAAAGGCATTTAAAGCTGTGATCTTCTGTTCAGTTGTTCTTAATGATTGTTTGCCTGTTACATAAGTATTTGCATTGCAGTCTCCTTAAGTAAATTCATGCATTTTAGTGCCCCACACTAGCTTAGTTCAGAGCAAGTCTACCCAGCTATAGCCAAGCTTATTAATGTAGTTTTAAACAGGAGTTGAATAAAGGATGAAACCCACATATTTTCTCAAGGTTCTCTAGTGCTTTTTGGATCTTGCCATGAGTTTTGATACTGCTGTGGATGCATTAAAGCAATATCTAAGATGAACAGTTGTAACTTGGTTATGCTTATGTTAGTGATAGTCACTGCAGCAAATGTCATTTACATGGTCTTTAGGCTTTGTCTGTATTGATGAAAAAGCCAGTATATATCAGAAATGTAACTGGTATGCAATGCTTTTATAGTTTTGTATCCATATTTGTAATTTTGTACTTTTCCATGAGAAAGCTTCTGTTACCTGGGCTGTCAGATTAGTTATTCCACATCTCTAAAGGCACAGAAAAGGTACTACTTGTTATGACTTCATAAGTTATCAAATGATAATTTCTAGTTTACCAAAGATAGTGGCTTTATTTTCAGTTATGATTAAATATTATTTTTATCTATCCATAGAAAGTTTTTAATCCTGTTTTTAATATATGTAAAAAATGTCTGTCTGCAAACAATATTAAATGATTTTTCTGGAAAAGCAGTACCATTATAGGAGTGTAAGAATAATTAAATAATTTTATTTTGAAATGTGCTAGTATTTAGAACTTGCTGAAAGTGTACCTTGTCTTAGAAAGCACAGACAGCTTGCAGTATTTTGAAGCAGTTATTTTTCTAATAAGTACTTTGTATGGCTTACAGGTTTTAAATGCACAGAGAGCTGGATACAAGGCAGCTATAGTTCACAATGTTGATTCTGATGACCTCATAAGCATGGGATCCAACGACAGTAAGTACAGGTATCACTTCTTCTCTCCTGTTTGAAAATCACTTCACCCACTAGTGTACAGTATTAAAATCTGCATAAAGTATTATGATGGACTCGCTCTTAAAAAAAAAAAAAAGCCACAAAACTCCACAAAAAAAACCAAAAAAACCCACCAACCCAAAAAACCCAAAACAACCTACAAATGAACCCCCCAAACCGCCCCAATAAACAACACAACAACAAACCTCAACCCAGCAACAAAACCCTAAACAACACAACAACAACAAAAAAAATCATAGCAAAATCCACCCCAACCAGAAATCTTCCTTTTAACATTTTAAAATAGGAGATACTTGCATAAGAGTGTGTGTGCCTACGTGCGTGGTATTTGTTGCACCAAGCTTGTGCGTTCTCTGGGTGTTTCTTTTGGTTTTCCTTTAAATTTTAGTTCAGCTGTTCTAGGTTAAACTGTTAAATTTGAGATAGATTTGTATGACTGATGTGGAAAATACTTGATGTGTTCTTAATTATAATATAATAATATTCATTATTAATTATAATATAATAAAATTCAACTACTCTATTGGAAGGAAATAAAACTTTAAAATACTACTTTTTAATATTTGATAGTAGTTCCATATTGTGGTTGCACTGTTGTGCACCTTTTCTGTTCCCTCGGACAAATATGAATACGTATTACATGTACATATTTTCAGTTTTTAAGTTGGCAAAAGAATCTTGAGGGACCAGTGCACCATCTTCTGATGCTAATTGTTCCAATTTTAATCTTATGTAGAGTGAATGTGTTAGAAAAACTTGTAATCTAGTCAAAACTTTTGTTTTATGGTGTGTGGTTTTTGTCTGTAGTGATGTCAAGACTTTCATTGTGGCATTTCTTTATTTTGTCTAGTTTTTGAGCTTGCTCAATATGGAACAAGAACATAAATGAGAACAAAAAAAGTCCTTCCAAGTGGAAACACCATTGAGTAAACTAGGAAATGAACTTTCAGCAAACTAAATGGCAGCTGGGTAGCCCAGAAAGCTACATGAAAGTGGTTTTAATGAATTCCCAACTCATGTGACTGTTATTTTCACGTTTCACTGAGAAATCAAAATGTAGAACAAGTTCACAACAAATGCAGACTTGGGTAGTGTGAGGTGACATTAAGCCATACATGCTTTTGCATTGGGGAACCTGAATGCTTTGCTATTAACTAAACTCAAGATACTTTGGCCCTTAAATGTGAAGCCTAAGTCAGAGGCACAAATCAATATTATCTAGTGAAGCTGAGGAGAAGGTTTTCTACAATAATGGGATTTATCTTTCAATGTTTTTCATTTGTGCTGCATCTTTTGAGCTTCTTATTACCTTCGCTATTAAGCAGAGAAGGGGGAGGAGACAGTTGCACTCAGTTTCTTGAGACTGAAATAAAAATCTGGCATTTATTCATTCTCTTCTTCCTTCTTTTTGACCTTTTCTAGCCACAGCTGTTTCCAGTATGTTCCCTTATGATTAGGGTGAAAAGGAGGGAAGAAAGATTAATTAAAATTAGCAGTAACAGATCACAAAATCATAAGTTTCCAGAAATTTTGGAAATCAGTGGAGATGTGACTTACCAAGTCTCTGAATAAGAGTGATGATCTGGTTAAGCTTACTCTGATGATTCTTCTTTTGTAAAAATATTTTAGTTTTATGTTCCCTTTAAATATTGCAGTAAGAACTTTGATTTCTATACCTACAATAAAATACCAAGATACTTTGTAGGAAAAATATTACAACTTCTTATGTGTTGTGAAGATATAGTATGTACATATATCAGTCTGTATGTCATTATATTAAAACGTCTTCATGTTGTCATAGTCTAATAATGTTAAATTCTTATCTTAAGAATGCCCATAGAGTGTCTGCATAATAATGGGTTTATTCCTGCCTTTTTTAAATACAGTTGAGGTTTTAAAAAAGATTGACATTCCTTCTGTCTTTATTGGTGAGACGTCAGCTAATTCTCTTAAAGAAGAATTTACTTATGAAAAGGGGTAAGTTACCTCTCATGCAGCTTTGTTACTGCTTGCATTAAGTCATTGCCTCTTTTGAATATTTATGGGTTTAAAATAGGATGCTGTGATGATAGGGGCTATAGGTATTTCAGGTACAACTGTGTGCCTGAAAGCAATGGGCAGAAAAGATTTAAAAAATTAATGTAAATTTATTTCCTGCAGGAAGGTTACCATCTATTTAGGAAATGCTACTCCTCTGTTTTCATATAGCATTAAACATGACTTTAGCTAATGATCTAGGAATCACAGAAATTGTGATAGTATGTGTATTTCAGATCTAAGGGTGTGTTGTTCTTACAATGTATGTCAGTTCCCACTGAAGTCAGATGCTGGTCTTTGGGGGTGGGGAAAAATCATCCTTTATTAATAGCTCTAGAAAAACTCACAGTTAACTTCCTATGTTAGATGAACCTGTAGGAAGCATTTAAGATGATTCTAACAGCATGCATGATTAGGTTTGCACTGCTTCTGTTGTGCTTTTGAGCTTGAAAAGTACTGTGAGAACAAGATGGTTGAAAAATGTATCTTGAATAGAATGGGAAAGGAGGTGTGTTTTGTGCTATTAGTCTAACAATCTTGCTTCTTTAGGTTTGTCCTTTCACTGAGTAAATCAGAGCCTTGTTGATGAAACTACTTGATAAGTGTTATTCTGCATGAGTAGTGGTTATAGAACTACTAACACTTTTATGCATTGTACCTTCTCAGGTGTTTCTGACAGAATAATAATGGCATTTTACTTCCTCAAGTATCAATACATACTGGTGTTCAGATATCCAGTTGCCAAGCATCAGTATCAGGTTCTCTAGGAAGACTTCTGGTTACTGTACTGTAATTTATTGACTTCTTGGAGGACAGAGGGTGCACTTTACTATGCTTCACGATTTGAAACTAAACGTTTTGTATAACCCAGAAAACTTTAGTAAATAAGAAAGATTTCACAATATGTTTTGGCAGAGTTTTGATCGTCATGTTTAGTGTGTAGTGTCCCTGCCCATGACATGGGGGTTGGAATTAGATAATCTTAAGGTCCTTTCCAGCCCTAACTATTCTATGATTCTGTGTTACGTCTTTCTTATTCTTGTATCAAAGCAGCTTTGAGATTGTTTTCCTGGTTGCTTTAGATGTATTTATGATTGAAGTCAGTAAGTAGTTTTGACTCCAAAAATGTTCAAAGAAACATTGTTTTATCCTTTCATTTGTTGTTGTCTTTACATTATGTGGCTATCAGCTGAATTTTCTATGTTTTTGTGCATAGATAGGTATTCCTTTAGTGTGTCTAGTGATAAAGCTTTATTTCAGTAGGGTTGTTGTTTGGTTTTTTTTCATGGTATTTACTCTTTAATTCATTGTTTGTTAAATGCTAACCTGTTTAGAAAGTGTTACCTTTTTCTCCCCACAGTGGCCATGTTGTGTTAATCCCAGAGTTCAGTCTTCCTTTGGAGTACTACTTAATCCCTTTCTTAATAATAGTAGGGATTTGTCTTATTCTCATCGTCATATTTATGGTAAGTTACGTCTTTTAATAACATTTTTTCTTTCAAACAAATGATCATAAATGATCTATCATTTACTAAAGTTAAATGAAGGGATACAGTAAAGGAAGTAAAGGTCGAAGGAGGTGATCCTGCCCCTCTACTCTGCTCTTGTGAGACCCTACTTGCAGTTCTGTGTGCAGTTCTATGTACAGTTCTGGTGTCCCCAACATAAGAAGGACATGGAACTGCTGGAGCAAGTCCAGAGAGGGCCACAAGGATGATAAGGGAGCTGGAGCATCTCCCATACAAAGACAGGCTGAGAAAGTTGGGGCTGTTCAGCCTGGAGAAGAGAAGGCTGCGTGGAGACCTCATAGCAGCCTTCCAGTGTCTGAAGGAGGCTTACAAGGATACTGGAGAGGGACTCTTCATCAGGGACTGTAGCAATAGGACAAGGGGTACTGGGTTCAAACTGCAACAGGGGAAGTTTAGATTAGATATAAGGAAGAAGTTCTTTACTGTGAGGGTGGTGAGACACTAGAACAAGTTGCTCAAAGAAGTGGTAAATGCTTTGTCCCTGGCGGTGTTCAAGGCCAGGTTGAACAAGGCCTTAAGGAACCTGGTCTAGCGGGAGATAATCTTAAGGTCCTTTCCAACTCTAACCATTCTGTGATAACAGCAAAAGCTCTGTGAACTGTACTTACCTATACCTGTAATCCTTTATTTTTTAGTAAAATAAACAGGTGCAGAATTTTGGTAAAGGGATATCAGGAGCCCTTAGGATGTTCTATCTGGCATATAACTACTTAAAAAGAGTTGTCCTCAATGTTGTTCTTTCTTTTTCGTCCCATAATGACCTGTCCTTGTGCTCTCATATGCTGAGAGTCTGTCCAAATTTAACAACCTTGTACTGCATGATAAACATTAGTCTCTTGTTCCACAACGCCATTTATTACTGCAAGTGTAGTAATGGATCAGCAAGCTCGGAACATGTTACAGCATACTGCATATATCTTACAGCATATACAGTACCTATAGAGGTTCTCAACTGGGCATGTGTCTCCTCTATATACCTGTGCTATTTAACCTTTATTATTTCAGAATACTTGGCATCCCACTTCTTGGAATCTGTGCTGGTCTCTGACCAATTGATTATTTTACTTTTTGATAAAAATCAAGTAATGCATCAACTATTCTATAGCATTTTATTAAAATATTTATTTGTTAGTGTTTTTTTTCACTGCAAGTTATGTATTTCATTGGCAATCTTGGGCATATTTGTCACAATCAGAATTGCAGCAACTCTCTGAAAAGAAAACAGAAGTGGTCAGCTAGAGATGATGTAAAATTCACCAATGCTTTGTCTGACCTTCTGGTAATAACCTTGATTGGAGGACTTTGTCTCAGTTAATTGGGTGAACGTATAGCCTTTGTATCCTGAAGGTCAGCGCTTTGAGGTAAGGAGAGAGGGTATTTCTAAAGGAGAGCCATTACCAGGGATAATATTCCATGAACATCTGTTCCAAGACCATGAGTACTCTAACTTGAGCATCACTAGTAATCTGCTTATAGTACTCCTAAGTTGAAAATTGAAATAAAATACAAGTAATCTAAGAAATGGAATGAAGAATGCTGTGAAAGGGACTTCAATATCAGTTTGAAAATCATAAGTACTGGCTTTGCACCTTATCAAAATACGGTATGAAGCCCTGATCTGTAATTTTTGAGAAGGATACTGATAAGGAAATGAAGGTGATAAGAATATTTATGGGGTCTCTTGTTTAAACAACAATTTAGAATGTTACCATTGAAGAGAAAATTAATGAAGGAGGAGAGATGTGAATACTGTTGTTATGAGGAGTGTGAGCTTGACTTTCATCATGACCACTACCATGGAAATTATGAAATAAGAGATTGCTTTTACTCTGAGAATATTTCTTCATATTTTGCTTCAAAGTTTTTCACCAGTTCAGCTGCTTTTGTTTTTAATTAAGTTAGTTGCTGGACTTCAGTGCTGTTATCTACAGGTAAATAAATGAACTAAATTACAGACTAATTTGCACCAATCACTTCAGCAAGGAACTAGAGCTACATAACACAGTGCTAATCCCGCTGGAAGACTGTGTCTCCTTAGAATTGCAGGTGTTTCCCTCACTATGAAAACAGCAGTTTTCTGCATCAAAAGTGGCATTTACAAGTGCTACAGGACTGAGCTAAACAAATTTTTAAAGTGTTTGTCTTTAGGACATAAGTGAGTTCTCTTAGCAGGAGCCATTAAATCACAGAATGGTTTAGGTTCGACACAGGATTTGAGTGCGCATGAAGTAATGATACTACAGTCAGGTTTAATTTGGTCCTCATCCATTTGTGGTTTTGGCCCTGCTTCTTTCAGGAAATCTTGTTTTTAACTAAGAAATTAATCTGAGACTCTTTCACAGTTACTAAATACATGAATTACAGAAATAAAACTGCAGTTTATGCATGCAGCTTACTGCGCTGGGGTAAAAAGCATCTGAACAAACAGTTTACATCCAAATATGCTTAAAAAGTGAAGACAGGGGTGGTGCAAAAGAATAAATTTTATTTTGTCAAAACCAATTACACTTTCAAATGTTCCTAATAGTGTTTGTGCTTAATATACATACACTCATGCTTTTTTAAAAATAACCTGTTGTAAAGTATACCAATGCTTTTTAGGGATTCTTAAAGTGAGAGATGTTAATGCAGTTTATAATATTAGTACTCTCTTCTTGTTTATGTTACTGACAGCATGGGTAGGTGTAGAGCACTTCTGCAAATTTCAAAAGACTTGTTAGTGTGTATGCTTTGTTTAAGGCCCTTTGCTTGTTTGTCGTTGGGGGGAAAAAAAAGTTGTATCACAGATACTAGAATTAGAAACTGAACAGAAATAGCATTAGGGACTATTAAGAAAATGGAAAGTGTCTTCCTTATAGTTGAAGACAGCAACTAACTATGGCTTGAAGTAACCCCTTTAATCCTCCCTAGACTACATGTAGATATTTTGAAAACAGTTCTGATGAACATGGGAATACCTTAAGAGAGCTGTAATAATCTAAAACTGTAAGCAAAACCACTCAATTAATTGTGTTTTGTGTTGAAATGTGCCATCCCACTGTACATGGGCTTTGATAGAGGATTGCAGCAATGGCCATTATTTTATGTAGTATAGATGATTTTTTTTTTTTCTAACGTTTCTTTTCAAAAAAAAGCTTCTGTATTTTCAGCTTCAAGTGTCATGGTCACTGAAAACTTCTTTTAGGCTTGTTTGGCTTCAACCTTGAGTTCAGGCAAGGGAAGTGGTGATTCAGTTTGAGCTGGGATTCCCATTTGACTAACTTACTGTGTAGACTCATAAAGCAAAATAGTTTTATAGTTCTTTTACTGCTTTAACTTTTCATTTTGTCTTCCATGTTTCCAGATAACAAAATTTGTGCAAGACAGACACAGAGCAAGAAGGAATCGGCTTAGGAAGGATCAGCTTAAGAAAATTCCTGTACATAAATTTAAGAAAGGTAAGTGAATCATTCTTTGTCTAACTAATTAGACCCCTTTGTTTTTAACACCAAAAAACCCTCTAAATTGAGGGGGGTTGTAGTTTTGGAGATAATTTTGAGTATGCTTGAGATAGAGTTTGGCGTGAAAGCACACATAATATTTGACTTGACCCTGTTCTGACTGAAGTAGAAGAGTTTTAATATTTCTGTAACTGAAGCAGAACAGACACCACATGCAGACTCTGGCTGAGAATTATAATGTTGGTTAAGATACCACAGAATCGGTACAGAAATTCCACAAAAATTCCTTGTTGTGCTGTCATTAACAATGACTACAGCAGTCGGTTACTAATGCGTTATTTCCATTATTTGGAACTCCTCCAGCTCTGTTATTGTCTGGAAACTGAGATACTAGTGGTACATAAATTGCCTGACATGGAGGAGACTATAAACCAAAACTATCTTGTGGATATAGTTTATCTGATTTTTCCAGAGGAGTGGTCCTTTATTCAATCACCATACTTCTGTGAGGGCAAGAGAGATTTAAATTTAATGCCAAAATACTTGCTGTTGTGATTCTTTGTAGTGATTTATTTTTATGCTATATCTAATGACAAGGTGAGAAACAAAGCTGTTACTTTATTCAGTGAAATAGAAAAGCTGCTGTAATTCCTTCTCTGTTGTAGTCTACTCCTTAGAAGTAGGAAAAAAGTCTGCTACTTCATTTTGGTTTTTTTTAGATGTGCAACCATTTTACTATCTGATAGTTCATTCATACAAACTATTGCAAGGCATGAGAGGAGAAGGTGGGAAAAGTACTTAATTGAAACAATTACCACATAACACGTGTCAAAGAGGGTATTTTCTGAGGCACAAAGACCATGTTAGGGGATATGCCTGGATTCAAGGATAGAACGACTTACTGTTCTTTGCCCCTGATAAAGGCAACTTGCATTATTCATGGCATCGCTCTCACTTTGTGCAAAGCAGATGTTCAATTTGAGCAGTACAGTGTTTGTGCAATGTTAGCCTCAAGAAAAAAAAAAAAGCGTTTTCTTCTGCAGGGTTGACTGAACCTTGCTACAATGGTAGGGATTTAAAATTAACCCTGAAAAATTATCATAAGCCGATAAAGCTAATATTAATTTTTTTCCTCTTATTGATTCCCTGTGACATCAAATTAGAATAAAAATACAAAGTAAATTATATTCTACTTTAAAGAGAAATTTTCAAGGAAAAAGTTACTTCAAGAAGGTCAATTGATGTCTTACTACAGATGTACACAATCAACTGAAAATCTCAGAATTATGTGACTGAGTAGCCAGTGTATGAAAATATCTTATCACTGTTTTCCTCATTCTCATTCCTCTTTTCTTTTGCTGAATCTTACACCATATGAATTGTCTGGAGCTCTGTCAGTCATTGTAAAGTAACCTAGCTGTAAACCTCTAGGTAGCCACTGCATTCAGTGGCTTATGAAAAATAGAACAAAAAGCTTATTTGTTCACCTAGGATTTCAGTTTCTTTAAGCAAATGATCACTTTGGTTCTACTGCTGTGAAATTAATCTCTTCCATTACTTTAAGTTGTTTTACTAAACAAATTTGACCTAGTACTTGCAGTATGTTACCTTTACCGATTACAATGAAAATACATCGCTTCATGTTTCTTTGTGAAACATATGCTTTCTCAGGACATTATTGCACAGTCCATTCACTTCAGTCCTCTTGATGTTATATCCAAACAACCTTAACCTTTTGCTTTGGAAGGAAAGGTGAAACTAACTCCTGTGGACTATAATCCTATTTTCAGGAATGCTGGATTTTCTTTTTGTCTCCAGTGTATTCTTAAAAATCCATTTGTATTGAAATGTTAGTCAACTACTAAAGCTAAGACACCATAGATACAGTTTCTTCTTTCTTACCTTGTTTTTAATATCAAGAACTGATTAATAAACGGTTTCACTGTAAAAAGGTTTTTAAAAGAAAGCTGGCTTTAGTGGTTGTCTAGAATGTAATAGGTTGATAGGCAAATGATAATGTAATGAATATGGTTGTTCTGTATGGGGGATTGCACTCTGGCATACCTGAATAGTTGTTAACACAGAAAATACATGAATAATCTCTAAATAGGATTTAAGTCAAATACCACTGTAACACGTGGAAATTTTTTGCTGATTTCAAAAGGCTTTAGATCAGGCACTTAGTATTTCTGTAATGAGCAGCAGATGCAGAAACAAAAAAATGTGGCATTGACTATCTTTGCAAAGTCTGAATCAACAAGCCTTGCCTTTGGATAATTCCACAGAATGTAATGTACTCTGTGTTTTCTATACTGGTGGATTTTTTTTGACTGTTGTGTTCCTTAAAAAATGGATTACAGTTGGGTCACACAAAAGTCAGTGGGGGTTTATATCTTTTGCATGATGTCTTTATAACAGAAGTGAACACGTAAAAAGAAGACATCCATTTAATGTGCCTACAACTTGATCATTGGCAAATCTGAATATTCAGAATTATAGCTGAGATGTGAATTTATACTTGCTGTAGAATTTATTTTTCAGAAATGCATAATATTATTTCCACATTTGCTTAACTAAAATGGAATGTAGCAAAGACTGAAAAGACTTTTTAGATTTTAACAGCAATGAAATTACAGTGTAACCTCACTCCTGTAGAAAAGAAAATATCGTAAATTTAGTGAAGATGGAATGCTGCAAAAGGAAGAAATGTGTGGGCATATCATTAAGATATTAAAAATTAACAGATCAATTTTTTTCTACATCGAGTGTCGAAGAGTTAGGATCCCAAGTGAGCGGTTAGATACCTGATAAAGAATCTAGAATTTGGGAGTTGCTACAGCCACGAGACTTCTAAAAATGAAGCTGTTTAGTTAGGTGAAAAAAGAGCTTTACTTTAGCAGTCAGCTTTGAGATGCTTCATACACACATGGAATAAAGCCCCAATATATGTGACAAATAATAAGCTGTAAGAGTACATGTCATTTTAAGTAAATGCATATTTTTAATATTGCATACTGAATTTCTATGCACTTAAGATAAGTGCAGATTGATATATATGATTGAGCAATAGCAGAGAATAGAGGTATCTCAAGGCTTTCTAAAAATCTGCTCCAGAGTAAATGTAGTTCTGCAGTTTACTGTGTATTCCTAAATTATTTTTTTTTCCCCTGCAAGTGGGAGTATAACTGATCATTACTGACCTCTCTGCTTAACTGCACAGTACACTTATGGTCTAATAGAGAAAACAAGTCATAAGGTCTGCTGATCTTGGCTGGTTTATTTTTGCATTTTTCATTGTTCAGAAGTGCACATATATGTGGATGGTTGATTCTGAAAGTACTTAATTTGTATGTGCCAAGTAGCCAAAAAATAATACTAAAGACTTTTCATACACAGTTTATTTAAGTAAGATACTGTCATGTTTTAAGTCCAGCCGGAGATAAGAGCAGTGCAGTAACTAAGGTATAATGCAAAAGTACTACTGCTAACACCAATAATAATAATGATAAGGGAAATAACAAGGGGAGAGAATATAATTGCTCACCACCCACCGACCGATACCCAGCCTGACCCAAGCAGCAGTCTGGCCTTCCAGGTAACTTGTAGCAGTTTCCATACTTTTTCCCCGATTTTTGGTGGTTCTGAGTCAGCTTCTAAAGTACACGAATAGGTATTTCAGAAAAAAATGTCTGCAAAGTGTCTCTTTTAGAAATTAAATCTGTTCTTTGAGGGGCATGTCGTCACAAAGGATCAGCATTACTAGAAAAGTTTGTCTGTATTTACCTGGATGTGATGCTTTGCCATTGTGTCATTTTTTTCTGAATGTGATGTTCATTTGTGTGGGGATGTCTTAGTGAGATAAGCCTACTCAAGAGGAGTGTGCTATCATTTTTCTGGTATTTCTTATACAGGTTGAATGACTAGTGGGGGGAAAAAAGGACAGAAATATTACTAGAATGTGGGGGTTTTTTTATTTTCATTTTCTCTGAGTGATGATGCCCTTGACAGTAGTGACTGATGGTTAACATTCATTTCTGTGTTGAACATGATGATAATGTGCTGATTATAAATGATCCATAAATGTGGTTTGACTAATAGAAGCAACAGAGAGAAGGAATGTCATAGCAAAAGAGGAAGCAATTTTCTTTAAAAAAAACTATAGCTGAAATACTTCACTGTGTTACATTAGATGAAAACTCATATGCCAGTGATATAGGTCTGGCAGTAATGGGCTCCATTTAATCACTGACTTTTCCTACTTGCCCATGAGGTAGGGTTTTTTTTTTTTTCTCTTGCTTTCCCTTTATCTTCTCCTGTTGTATAGGAACAATCAGGAAAACTGGTTCTCATGTCAACTGTGCTTATTTTGAAATGCCAAATTTCCAGTGTGTTATTTTCCAGTGGTGGTCATCAGCTCTACCTTTATTTTGAATAATATATATTTACAAAAGTAACATGAACCACATTTCAGACTTCTGTGCCACCACAGAAGCCCTTGGAATTTATCTTTGGGGAAACAGATGAGAATTTGGTTTTAATTATGGATTTCTGATACTTGAAGAATAGACCTATGAACTAGGAGGTCCTGAGTTGCAACTTCTACTCTGATTTTTTGCACACTAAGATAAAATAATCTCCATCCATTGTCTTTTCCATCCCTATAAACTAAGAGTTGGCATATTTACTACTTTGCAGTGCTCTTGTGGAAGCCGAATACTTAATGTTACAATGCTCTATCAATATTATGATTTTATTTTTTTGCATTAATGTTCCTTTTATTACCTTTCTAGTTTAAAAATGTTTTTGATTAAAGCAGTGTAATTACTGCATATGTACTTACCTCCATAATTCACCTTAGCTGATAGTGAAGCACTTCGCAGATGTGCTCCTTCACTTATCTTTGCAGTCTTGCTTCCATTCTTTTTTCCCTGTCAAACCACTAGCTTTAGTAAATCTGTAATTTAAGCAATTTGCTGTGTCTTTGTTAATTGTACCCGTGCTACTGGCTGTTACCTATAATAATGGAGAAGCTAGGCATTAGCACAAGATCTTACTGCATGAGAGATCAGTCTGTTATTACATAGGCATGAATAGTTCTTGGCATCTATCTTAACACCCACAAATAAAGAAATGCTTTTAATAATGTGAAGAACTTGCCTTTGAAGGACATCTTATGTGCCTTGTATCTGCTGTATAATTGAGTACTGTTTAAAATGTTTTGTTGGGTTTATACCTTTGGAAAGACGGGAAGTTAGATGTTTATGTTGTTTTAAAGTGCAAGTGTTAGCACAGGCAAAATATAGATTCAGTATAAATTCTGTCAGGGCGATCATAAAACAGAAGTAATCAAGTGTATCCAGTATTTTGGTAAAATAAGAGGGCTTGTTTTGCATTCATTTGCCTATTAGGGGAGTTGAGGTTGTACAGGGAATACAAGAGCAAGTCTTGTGAATGAGGCAAGAAAATAATTGTATGCATGTAGGCTTCCCCTACTGCCTTCCAAATACAGACCTAGTACCACAATGGAGAGCCCTTCACATGCTTTATGGTTTTTCCTGCTTTCATCTTTAATAGATGTCAATTTTGTTTGTAGTACTTTTGAATTATGGAAGTCTCTTTTTTCTTTTTTTTGGGGGGGGGGAGGAGCGGAGAAACAGCAACATGAGACAGTCACGATCCTGCATAAGATCCTATTCCATATCTTCCACCCCACAGAAGGGAAATTCCAGATAAACACCATCACGTGTTGTATGTATTTTTTTAAAAAAATGACAGCACCTTTAGAAAAGCCCAGGATAGAACATGCTTTATACTGAAAATTTGTAAATCTACCGAATGTACGTTGCTATAGCCTTCAGAGAATTGTGTGCACAACAATATAGGATTCTGTGTTTCCTGAGCTACAAAAACCAATCCTGTATGATTTTTATTTTTTTACATCATAGTCAATGGTATTTTGATATTGGAATGATGCAGAAAGCACATGCTACTAATGCAGCTAACCACAAATTCAGATAAATTAAACAGCCCGATTGTTAAAGAGCTGGCTCAGTTCTTAGCTCACTTTTATGATAACATCATCTTAAAAAGAAAGCTTGCAGAAATCCTGAATCAAAGCAGAGGAGTGCATCCCTTGGTCTGGTAATGTGGAGTACAAGGTGTGTCCTTATTTAAAATCTGAGGGTACAGTTATTTCTATGTGGATATATGAATACTACTAGGCTACTACTGTAACTCTTCAGTACGTTTTTTAATTATTTTTTTTTAATGAGAAAGTATTTAAGCATGATCAAGACTAATCATGCAGGTTAAAGATTGTTTACAGACTAAATTGGAAAAACTGTTACACTGCATTTGACTGACAGTATCCTGCATTTTGGAATTAAAAATGCTTAAGTATTTTTGTGTTGGATTTTATTTGAGTTTTTTTACATTTGCAGAGAAAGTTTTATTTTTCTCAGTGAAGTATATTGTTACAAACTTGATGAAAAATCCTGGTCAAGTTGCTTTTTAGAACTTTGAATTTTTAACTTTTGTGCTTTATTAATGATCTTATTCTGAACACATGAACAGAAAAGTAGTACATCTTTGCCACATCTGTTGCTGAACAACTTAATTTTGCTGATCCTCTTTCTCTGAAAACTGAGTTTCATGTAATACTTGAAATTTGAGCTGACAATGGCTGTTCATCTTCTGTACCTCTGGTGTTACTTCTGTTAACTTTCTGCAGCTTTCTTGGAAAGCTCAGCTCCTTTGATGCTGATGCAGAGCTCTTGGTTTTCCTATTCTGATGTACTTGGTCTCCTTACTTGTACTAAATAGATACAGAACCATGCTGGGTTACATTATGAAAACTAAGTTTTTCTTTGAAAACTGCCTCTAAGTACCTAATTAGTTAATTTTGCCATCTGTAGAAAAGCATTGGGTTTAGCAGGATGGTATCAAAATGAATTTTGAACTGAGTTTCCGGAAACTCTCACCTGCCATGCAGTTTCATCACAGGCTTTTGTGTTGAAAGAACATCTCTACTGAGTAGTGCAAAAATCTGCCTGCTTCCTTCATTTGCATTCCTTCTTAATAATGTAGAGTAAGCTTATGACCCAAGTGCAGGCCTGCTGTAGCTACACACTACTGAAATCTGCCTCATTATTTCCACCTTTTCCCCAAAGCAACACTTTGACAACTTGGGTATTGTATATCACATCAACTCTTTTGAACAAGCCTGGAGTGTGAACTGCGATGTCAGTCTCATGTATGTAATCTGGAAAGTGCTTTGGGAAGCAATATAGGATTTGGTATTAAAAAAACCCCTGTAAATTTGTGCTAAATTGTGCTGTGTCACAGGTTATTGTGGGTGATGTGCATGTTGAAAGGTGAGCTAAGTATGTGAAGACATTCTTGTGGCTATTAACTCTAGCCCTTGCACATGTCAGTCTTAAGCATTTAAATCTGACCTCTCCAATGTCAAGCCTTGGAGTGATATGCAGCAATGAAGTTTTAGTGCAGCAGATAATCAGGAAAAGACTTGACAGAAGTTTACTGAGAGAGGATTAAGGTGATGCTGAGGGGTATGGGAGCAGAGAATTAGAGTTGTGAGGATAACTGATGAGGTAACACTTGTGGGATGGATGGGGCTCAGGTTAGGTGGAATTTTGAAGGAATTGGAAGGAGATGGGGAAGGCTGCCCTGAGGGGCACTGGGAACAAGATACAGTATCTCAGCCCTTCTTTCTTTTACCTTGCGGTGACAAGATCATGGGACTTCATTTCTCTTATGGGGGTCACTGCCTTGCTGTATGTCTTTTCCCATTGGTATTTTGGTATGTGAGAGGGTGAACCTTCTCTGCACATATTCTTTCTCGTGGGACCTACATGTCCTTATTTCCCTAGCTCCTCTGCTGTATGGTAAGACCCAGTGTCTTAGCTAGCCCCCAAAGATGGTGAAATGTGAACTGCTGTGCACTAGGATGTTAAGAAGCAGCTGTGAAGATGCTACAGATTGGGAACAGGCAGACTTGGTCTAGGACTGCTGTTATGAATACTTAGCCAAAATATCAAAATATGCAGGGAGTGACATAGTTCTTTGGGATATTGCAGGGTGTGTCTGGGTTGTCCTCCTTTGGGCAGTCTTTTTTTCCTGTCCAGTCTTTTATCACTGGTGCCTTTCCTATCACAAAGCATATAACCACGATGCAGGCACACTAGCACCACATGTTGAGCAGATGACTGCCCTTGTGATAGGATGTACAAATATGCATTGGATCACTTGACCATGTAGCTAACCAGTCCCTCAACCAGACATGTCAGTCAAGCGATAGGAAAGCTTGCAGTTTAGCCTGCTGGCACATGGGCTTCTGTCCCTGTGACAGGGAAGACTTAATAGGGGGAGAGGTAGGCTGAACCAGGCTAATTTTTTTTCTGGTACACTGTAGTTTGGACATCTAAACAACACTTCATGGTTGGGAGAGCGCAGCCCTAGCAAGCAGCTGCTTGTGAAGAGACAGTGCAGTACTGGACGGTACTAAGACAGTAAGTTTCATTTGTTTAAATGAAGTGCTAATGGCATAATAGGAGAAGTACCATCTGGAAACAGTGAGTTGCAGCAGTGGATGTGTCTTAAGTTGCGAGAGATGTATGAAAGAAGAGTTCACCAACTTTTGCATATACAGTGGCTTTGAGCACATGGCCAGAACTTTTCCAGCTGAACAGATACTCAACCCAGCTCATGTCAAAGCAAGGGGGCCAAATAGTGACAGGTACCCTTTCACTGCTTATGTCCCTCTCAGGGTTTGATCAGGTAAGTATTCACAATACATACCATAAAATAGGGCTCCTTATGAAATGAAATGTAGCTACTGTTTTATTTTAAAATATGTACTTTGCACTACTCACCTTTAATAATACAAACTAGTAACTGGCAGTCTTAGGAATTGGGGGATCTGGGCTTTGTTCTCTCCATTGTCTTCTTTCTTTTCACTTCCAACCTAACAATTCCTGGTCTGATGATAGCTCTTCCCACCTCTACCCTGCCCCAGCTTCTCTGGGTGGTATTGCTCCTCTATATTGTTGGTAGAGAAAGCTGAGTCCCTTTTCATCCTTGAAATATTTCTATAAAAAACACCTGTTCTATTTTAGTCTTCTTGTATGATAGTTTCTCTGTTATGTGATCATAATATTCTTTCTTTGTTTCTGTTTGAATTAATCTTTTGAGGATTCAAGTGGCCACATTACAGACTCCTGGAGCAAACTTTTTTCTTTTCAAATGCAGAAAAGGCTCATTCCCATTTTTGTGTTTTTATTTGGATGTACACATGAAAGAATATCTGGGTTTAACACTGTACCCTAAATGTCTGTATTTATGTCTTAATGCTTCTGGAAAGACTACTCTTTGGTGCTTTCTACTGTTGCATTTTTCTTTTTCCCCAGTTGTATCACACTAGGAACACTGTAGTGGCCAACCAGTGCACTCTGTTTTTTCTCAATTTTTTTTATAACTGATGAACTCGGGTTATGAGAAGGACATAAGCTGCAGTGTAACTGCAAACTTTAGAGGGCCAGCATCTTTAGGAAATTTGATTGGTAAAAAGGACAGTGTTGTGTAAAAGCCCTTGATAAAAATGAAACAGGAATTTTTTTTTTGTTTTATAAAAATGAATGAATATTATAGATATAGTGCTTCACATAGTTTAAAACATTTTTATTAACCTGAAGGGAAAGTGAATGAACTGTAGTCCTAATAAGTAAGGGGAGAAATACAGCAGTCAACTATATAGCTTCAAAGAACCTGCCCCTTACATGGACAGGGAAGAGCAGCAGTTTCTTCAGCATGTGAAGCTCAGCAAGAGAACCTGTATGCATGTGTTTGCAAAGGTCTGTTGCAAATCTATTAAACTGATTCTTACTTATGTGCTGCAGGAGATGAGTATGATGTATGTGCCATTTGTCTGGATGAATATGAGGATGGAGACAAGCTCAGAATCCTTCCATGTTCTCATGGTAAGCAGCTGTATGTTAGGTTTAGTATTTGTATTAAAACAGCTCTTTAAAACGCCACATCTAAACCCCACAGTGAATTTGTTTGTTGTTTGATTTATAAAATTTATTTTTGCTAATATGCAGGAGTGTATGTACAAATTGGGAAAAGAGCAAACTTTTTTCTTTTTAAATGCAGAAAAGGCTCATTCCCGTTTTTGTGGTTTTATTTGGATTTACACATGAAAGAGTATCTGGGTTTAACACTGTACCCTAAATGTCTGTATTTAATGGGGAAACACATTCCAGAGTTACTTTCTACATTTAAAAAAAAAAAAAAGTAGGCTTTTGCTTTCTCCAAGACAAACCGTATAAACATAATTCAGATATTAGTGACTTACACATTGGATATGGGGATATAGTCTGTCCTGTAGCCTGAAGCTGTATAGACGACTGCCTTGACTGCACTTGGAAATCAGTGTTGTCACTGCAGAAATATAGCAGAATATTTTTACTGTGACAAGAAAAATACTATACTGTCTGAACAGTCTCTCTCAAATACAGCCCACTGCAAAAGGTGTATCTAGTAGTCATGTGTGTGTCTATCCACGAGATGAGACTGCTTTTAAGTGCATGCAATTACAAGAAGCATTTAAGAGCTTCTACCTAGAAGTATTGAAGAGGCCTGGGCCCAAGAGCAGCTCTAAAAATATTTTTTTTTTTTTGTTTTTTGTTTTTTTTATAAAAGCTGTGTCAACTCTTATCATGATAGATTCATCCTTCCTAGCTTGAGACCCCTCTCTGCCTCCCCAGTCCATTAACTGTATTACAGGCATTTTGACTGGAGGCAGTTTTACCCAGCATTTTCCTCATTAGATTCCTGCTCTTACTAAGCACTGCAACAGCAAATACCACATCACTAATAGATTTTAAAAAAGAGGCAACTGATGTTACAGCCTTACATCCACAGTCAACACAACAGGTGACAGACTGAGCTTTGTAGATTCTAGTCATAAAAATTTCAAAACAGGCTGACAAAGAGTTCTTGGAAGAGAAAGAACAGATCCATAGCATCTATATAGCATCCCAGCTAGGGACTGCAAAGTTAATGAAACCCAATCACCAGTATCAAAGATTGCTGACAAAAAAAACCCCACTACAGTCAGTTTTCATGGAAAGCATGCTACTAGTGGGTTCTAACACATACTAAACACAACATGCTCTTTGCCAGATACAAGTCTCTGTTAATAAGCAGAGCTAAGTTTTTAATACCCTAAGTAAGACACTTTCAGATTTATTATTTTTTTTATTTTTTTAAACAAGGCCAGTCTAGTTGCAGTGCCAACTGTAGGACTAACTTAATACCCGCAAAATTATGTGGTGATTTTATTTAATAACAAGGTGCTTCAATATATCTCAGTGGAAGTTAGAGGCACTATGGGGATAATGATGGTGGGCATGTTTGCTGCAAGATGAGTATAGATCATCAAGCAGCTTTTAAAGCTTATTTTGTCAAACATGCCTGTTGCAGGATTGCTCTCAGGTTTGTTCAGTAGAGGAAATAAGTATTTATTGCATATATCTGCATGGCCAAGATCATAATCTATTAGGTGTTTTGTACAGAAGGATAGACAGTCTACATGCCAACAGACTTATGTCTAAAATTCTCTGAGGTAAATTCTAAAATTCTCTTGTGTTACGAAGCATAAAGACAACTAAGCAGGTTTCCTTGTCCTTTTCACTTAGATAATGATGGACTTGTATTTTGTTTTCTAACAGCGTATCACTGCAAGTGTGTGGACCCGTGGCTGACAAAAACAAAAAAAACATGTCCTGTATGTAAGCAGAAAGTGGTCCCTTCTCAGGGGGACTCTGACTCTGAAACAGACAGTAGTCAAGAAGAGAACGAAGTATCTGAAAACACTCCCTTGCTTAGACCTTTAGCCTCAGTTAGTACTCAGTCATTTGGGGCTCTGTCAGAATCTCATTCCCATCAGAACATGACTGAGTCCTCAGAATATGAGGAAGATGACAATGACAATATTGATAGCAGTGATGCAGAAAATGGAACAAACGAAGAAAGTGTAGTGGTCCAACTACAGCCCAATGATGAAAGGGAGTACAGAGTGGCAAATACTGTCTAAGATTACTAATGATGAATAGTGTACGAACAAAAGCGTTTTGAAGGTTATACTTCACAAACCTTTACATAGGGAATCTCTTTTAATCTCTAATCCATCTGGTTTCTTCAATAGGAGCAGCAGTTCATGTAGTAGTACTATGGTTAAATCATTAGAGATTTATTTCTGATACAGGTATTCAGTCACACATTCTGTCTTCTCAAAATGAACAGTTTAACTGGACTTCACAATGCTAATAAATAATGTTAATAGTTTATATCAATAGAAATTATCACAGACTCTAAATGTATCTTGTTGAAATGGGGTTTATCTGGAAGTAATTTTTCTCCATTTTGTAGCTACAACCGGGTCATAGTGGTAGCAATATTTATTACATGTATGGTATGTGTTACCCCTTAAGCCCAACAGAACAATGTATTTGCATGTTTGTATAGAGTTTTCCTAAAAACTGTCACCACTCTTGAAAGAAAAATGTAGAACAGATCGATATTCTGTATGGTGGTAATATCAAAACAAAGCAGAAGAAATTCCACTTTTATCTCAAAGCAGATTCCAAACAGTCCTTTGGAGTTTGCCACAGTAGCTGAGTTTAAGCAGTTCCATTGATCAATTCCTAGCATAAGGAAACTTAGAATATATGTTTAGTTTTGAGCAATTCACAAGATCCGTCATAAATACATTAGTTATCCCTACTTGCTACTATGATGTAGTCTGGTTTCCAGTGATGATGTGGGATTGTGGGGGGGTTGGGGGTGAGGAGAGGGAGAAGAAAAGGGGCTGGCCAAAACGGAGGTTTTGTTCCACATCAAAAAATAATTTTAGGTAAGTATTCTATTGATCCTCAACTCATATACCTCTTACTAAAGAGCATTTTATGCTGCATTAGTCTGCTAAACTATGTATATAAAGAAAAAAAAATGGTTCTTTTTGAATACCTGATTTGAAAACAAGTGCTTATAACTGTTTAACAGAACTCAGTACTTACCAGTGTATCATGAAAAAAGTAAATGCTATATAATACCTCTGTAACTATGTAGAAAGTAAAAACACACGTATACTCAAAATGCAGAGATTTTTATATGGCCTTGAATAAGGAAAGCTTGAAAGAATGTTAATAAACATGTTTTCCACTTTAAGTATCAAAAGGAATTTATTGAACTTTTGCATTACTTACGTTCATGGTGTAGTCTTCTATTTTTATTTCTAAGGTTAAAGTATTTTTAAAGGTCCAGAACATGCAACTATTAAGATCCCTTGGTAAGCAGCAGCCTACACTTTGCTGTGTTATCACAGCACAAGGTGCAGGAGGACTAAATTACACAGAAAACCTTCACTGTTGTTCACTTTTAGTCAGAAGTTTGAGTCAGTCTGGGTCTGTATGCGTATTTTGTGTGTGGGAGAGGGAAGAAAGACCAGGGTGCTGTTAGTATTTCCTGCCCACCTGCTGACACCTGTAGAGCTACAGTCTGTGAGCCTGTGTTCTGGACATCAGAGAACACTGAATCCTGCACTGCGGCGAGTACAGGTGAGGGGTTTCCATTTGTTATTTCTGACTTAACACACCAAGCAGCAACACTCTCCTTGCTTCAACCTGGCAAAGAAAATCAATTCTCTGGGACTGGCTAAGAGCAGAGAAAGTTTATTTTGCAGAACGAGGCATGGAAAAGGGATAATAATGAAAGAATGACTCATCTTCAAACCACTGCCACCAGCAATCCGTGGGGTTAATGACAAACAATGTATTACTATATTTTCACTATGTAAAATTCCACTTTCAGCTTATGTATGCCTAGTTAAGTCCCAATGTGAAAACTTACTTCTGAAAACTTACTAAGCTGAAAGATGTTTTCTTAAAATGGATTCCTACTGTTCAGATGTTATCAGTGCATGTGTTTATTTTTAATTGTATTCCAGGTACCCCAAAGCTAAGCGGTGTGATCCTGCCATCACAAAAGGAGGATGATAGGTGCGCAGGACTGCACAGGGCTTGGATTCAGCAGAAAAAACAGTTATGTGGAACTTTGCAATGTCTGAGCCAAAGCATTTCACTTTCTCTCTTCTCGTAACTTCTTCAAGGAAAATACTAATGCAAATTTATGACCTAGGTCATGATTTAGTGTTCAGACCTTTAGCAGAGGAAAATAACCTTCTATTTAAATTGTCTGTTGATACAGAAATGTGAACTTTATCGAGTCAAGGTTATTCAAGGAAGGTACTTTACACAGACCCTAGCAAACTCGGTACACAGACACCATTCTGCTGTGGAAATTCTACAACAAACACATTTGGAAAAGGAATTTGAACAGCACCTAATTATTACCAAGAAAAAGTATACAGATGATATACAGACATCTGCTCAGGAGAGGGGGACTGATCAGAAGGGAACAGTGTTAAGATAAATAAGGAATTTGGTGTGCTCTGATGATGGCTATTCCTGCCTCTGAGATGCCATTACAGTTAATTCCAGCTATGGCCTTATTCCAAAAAAAAGTTTTAGGGACTGATCCTCCTCCCAGAGGAAAAAGAAAAGTAATAGTTCTGCAGTCAGGATGTGAGTTGGGTTAAATTGGGTATAGACAGTTTAGGTACAGAGCAAAACAAGGATTCACACACATTTATTTAATGAGAGAAGTGAAAGGTTTGCATCCTCTGTACTAGTTACTACTAAAAGCAAACTTGCTTAGTGCTATGGGCTTTTTCTAATCTGTTCTAACTTTAGCCCTAAGAGCTGGAAAGCAAGTTTGGACACCAGACAACTGGAGTAGTTGGAGAAGGTAAGATCTTTTGTATACAAAGGTTTTAGTTAGGTTGGGATCTAGTGGCAAGCAAAAGAGCAGGTGCAACATTAACACTGAAGATTAAGAGGTAGGGGAGAACAAAGGCATTTTAACAGTCATTTCCAGGACCCAGGAAAGCACAGCCTTAGCTAACCTCCTGTGGTTTGGGCTTTTCTTTCTTTCCCAGCCCCTAAGCTCCCATTGTTCACTATTGCATCTCACCAGTGCCATTAGTTCACAGGGCCCGTTTTCTCTTGGGCGGCAGAAGTGCCAAAACCAGGCAGAATTACTTTGGAGTGAGACCTTAACTGTCCTTTCTGAGGGGAGCATGTCACCCTGTGCAGAGATGACCCTATTTAGACTGCCACATATCCTAATAAGTAGATAATGTGGCAAAGATCTCCTCTAGCTCTTGTTCCAGGGGTTGTGCATTAGGTACCCATGTGGCAGGGGAACCCTTTAACTCTACTGAGTCAGATAAACGTGGAGTTCAGTGACGTCATCTCATTTAAGATGATTTACTCCAGAGAGGGCCTGGCCTTTGACTAAAGCAGTATTACCATACTATTGCTGTCTTACAAAACTCAAAACTGCACTTACATCTAGTATTAGTGTAGTCAGCCATGCAGTGAGGAAAGGGCCTCAGAGGATTCCTGTTAGGAGGGGAAAAATTACCAACAGTCTGATTTTGTTTGGTTGGAATAAATTTATTTCATCTGTCTGTAAACAAGGTGTTTTTAATAGTTATGGCATTTTTTGAAATGCATATTAAATCAGATGAGTTAGACTGTATCCCAGATGTAACAAAGTGCAGGGAAAGAAATGGACAAATCAGCAACAAGAATCTGTTTAAATCTGTACATTATCCACAAGGTCCAACAATAGAAGCAAAGACTAGAATGTCCCTACAGTAGTGCCATTCGAAAGAAACCCTCATAGTCAGTTAAAATCCATCTCACAATAGCAACAGTTCTTTTTTTCTTTTTTTTTTTTAACAATAGTATGGCACAGAATACATAGTAAAAAATTCATCACAAGACAGCCAAGTCAGTTATTCCAACCAATACCATCTCCCATTTATTCTTTTGTATACAGAGTTCTGCAGTTCTCTTTAAATGGACATACAAGTTAGTACCATGTCTGAACTGAGAGTTTGGTTACAGACATTTCAGATGACTAGTGCACATGGCAGTTCACTCCATTTCTGCAGCAAGGGTGTGACAGGCCAAATGAAGATTTAAAATTTGAAATGGCATCATTTTGACAGTTTAGCTTTCAAACTACCAACCTTCATCCAAACACTGGCTTCAGAGCAGCAAAACTCTTTACCAGTGAGTGATCTGGCAGAAAGACTGGAGTCAGTCAGAGTGCCTGGTGTAGCTAAAGGTGGCAGTTTTCCACAATGACATTGCAGTTTCATATTAAAAAACAAAAGTGACCCAAAAAAAAAAAAAACCCAAAAACAAAGCACAACCCCCAAGCTGCAAATTAAAATTGGTCCTATGAAAAACTGAAACCAGACACACTCCAGATGGTTATGTTGGGCTATCTAATGTCCATAATGGCAGCCTTTTACAATTCAACTACAGAACAGGAGCTGGCAAAAAAAAAAAAAAAAAAAAAAAAAAAAAAAAGTGCCTGAGCTATTGCAACGATGGAATGTCTGTGGGGATTCGTCTGGGATGGTGGCTTTAAGGTCATGGGAGGAAGTGCATCTGTACCCTTTCATAGTTTTGTGATTGCACTTGTTAAGCAGTACAAGCTTCAGACATCATGACGAAAAAATAAAAAGACTTAAGCCTACAGTGAAGTGCAACAACAAAACTAGTAGAATGTTAATAGCTTTTGAGTCGCAACTTGGTTAAACAAACCAGGCACTATAAAAATGGGTGTGAGCAAACAAATGTGGAATAAAAAAGACAAAGAGGGACAGAAGTAAAGATATGCATGCACTTTTTTCCTCCCAACAATGCTCTGTGAAAGGAAGACTAGTGAGCTGTGTAATTGCTCAACATGCTGAAGAGGCATTGATCAAATTAGATTGTACAATCGGCACCTTGTTTAGTATTTAAGTTGTTTTAGTCATCAATATCACACTAACTGCTAAGACAAAGCAAAGCCTACACTTGGCATATTACCCTCCCAAGAGTTTTTCAAGGTATCATGCATATCATCTTTGTGGTGCAGTAATGGTGCCAGATATGGGACTTGGTTACATACAGTGGTTAACATATAAATGAACAAAGGGTAACTGGAATTATGACATTAGGAAACGGGTAAACAAAAAAACACGAACTACCATCTACAGTCTGGTAGCACTGAACACAACTGGATGGTGATGAAGAGAGTTGCTAGGTGGATGGGGAGAGGCTGCTTAGACGTCAGACCTCCTCAGGTATAAAGCCAGTTCATATGCTTTCTTGTTGAGTGTCCCTCCATGGACACCTTCCTTTCCCATGACTATAACCAATGCTGGAGTACACAAGGAAACAAAACAGAAATGAACAGAATTAAAGGAAAAAAAAAAAAAAAACCCCAGAAGAAAAAATAACAGCTTTCCCCACCAACAAAGGGATACAAAGGAGACACAGGTTCATACCCCATCACCCTGCATTGCTAATAAAGTTTCCAGAATGTAAGGTTTAAAGCTCACCGCCAGGAAAGTTTAATAGCAATCTTCCCCTAATACTTAACAGTCTGCCTAGCAACTAGAACCCAGAGTCTCTCAAGTATTTTGCCATTGAGTATGCCTTCTTATTCAATCCGCCTCCATGGACCCCTTCTTTGCCCATTACAAAGACCAAGACTGAAAGAGAAAAGAAAAAAGTTTTAAAAAGAGTGTGTTAGACAAGTAAATAATGCATGTTTTAGGCAGTGCAATAAACACACTCAAATTCAAGATTTAGTATTTTGCTATTAAGCTAGTTTAACAGGAGTTTTGT